GAATGAGCCAGAATGGAAAAAACGTAAAATCTGAAGAATCTCGTATGAGAGCTGTTTGCATGAGGGGGAGCATATTGGACAGGTTTTTTTTTTAATGCAATGAAAAATACATTTTTTTGAACAGATATTGTCCTTTGCCTTATTGAACTATTTAAAAGATAGGTAGCTACCCTTCCCTAAAATTATGTTTATATTTTCTTATCTACAACTATTAAAACTGTATCATAAGCAAATCAGAAACAGATTCTTAGCCTATTACCAAGCACTTTAGGTATTTGGAAACTTTATTCAACAACCATTGGTCTTGTGCAGATTCTCATAACCTGGGGGAAGGGAATGTACATTGGGATGTACATCTTGAGCAATCCCAGCAACGGAGTATGGAAACAGACATCAAAAAGTTTGCTACTTCTGTGTAATATCACAACAGTTGTTTACATAACTGTAAATAATTAGACTGAGCTCAGACTAAAGCACTGCCGCATGAGGAAAGAACGTGTATCTGATGACCTTTCTATGGCAGAGTACAGTGGTTAGGTGTTAGGAAGCAGGCTTTGAAGTCAGACCCATGTGAGTTCAAGTCCTGCCTCTGCTCCTGCTGTCTGGGTCACCACAGAGGAGCTGTTAGATTCCTCTCTTCTGGCCTCTGATGATAAGTGTACTGCCCTCATAAGTTTGTTAAAAGGATTAGATGAGACTCCTTGTAGAGTGTTTAGTGTAGTACCTGGCACACAGTAAATCTACACTCAATATTTGGTGTTTTAAAATAGAGTCAAGGATATCTATGTTGCCTGATTTTGATCAGTATTAAATTGGGTGTAGAAATGCTTTGTAAATGTAAGAGCTATGTAAGGAGAAGACATTAAGAATCATTCTGCAAGATCCTTGTGCTATAGTGACTAGAAAACAAAAACAAAAGTTGGCAGTTTGTCCAAAGTAATAATGAGTCAATAGAATACAATCCTGTGGACTGCTTTCCCACAGACATGGGGTAGTTTTGCATGTCAGAGAGTTCCTGCTGGACAGTTCCAATGTTTCCGGTGTTTCGGGGCTCTTCCTTCCGCCTTCCTGATCTCATTTGTCTAGTGCAGGGGTCCTCAAACTTTTTAAACAGGGGACCAGTTCACTGTCCCTCAGACCGTTGGAGGGCCAGACTACAGTTTAAAAAAAAAACTGTGAACAAATTCCTATGCACACTGCATATATCTTATTTTGAAGTAAAAAAACAAAACGGGAACAAATACAATACTTGTATTTGCATGTGGCCTGCGGGCCGTAGTTTGAGGACCCCTGGTCTAGTGAATTAAATGATCACAAAAGTGAGGGATGATCCAAAGCATATGTCAGAAAGCTCCTGGTTCTATAGGCTTCACATAACATCCCTTCCCAAAATATTTTTTAATGCCCTGTGACACAGCTTTCTTACCTTGGCAGTTCTGGGTAGTATTAGCATCCTTCCATAGATTAAGTCGTAAAAACCATCATTCTCATCTACTCTTCTGTCCTCTTCCTTGTGAGCTCCAGTTAACCCTTCCCCCATCCCTTGTTACTTAGCTTATAGGTTATAAGAGGAAGAACAAACATTTGCTGAGTACCTACCTACTAGCTGATGACTGCTATTCTACGGTCTTTACCTGCATTAGCTCACTTCATCCTTACAAAACCCTCCTGAGTGGGTACAATTGTTAAACCCACTTTACAGACGAGAATAAAGAGGCTCACAAAAGCAAATAATCTGTCTGAGATCACATTAGGAAACGCTGTATGAAGACATCCAAGATCCCTAAACATCAGTAATTAACTGCTCCAAGTTTCCTATTCTTGTGTAAGTACCTTCATCCAAAATCAATTACAGACCAATATTTTATTCCAGCTGTTTAGGATTTGTAAATTTATTGCTTCTTGGATAAAATTTACTGAAAACATTTCATATTTTACCCCGGCTCAACATAAACATTGCAGCATATGGAAGTATTCGTCTTGTACAGCCAGGAGTGCAGAGGAGGGTTGGAGGGAGGAGTAAAACTTGATCATAGTGGTCTTGGCGGAGTCTGCTATGACATAAGGGGAGAGAAAAGCAAATTCTTCACTAAGATGATTGTCTCATCGTTACCCACAACACAAGTGGCCCTTTTCATGCTTGACATGATCTATCTCACTTGAGAGAGATTTAGAAAAAATTATTTTTTTCCACACAAGATTGGCAAAATACCCGTAGGTATTTCATTTTCGATTTTGGTGAGCGAGGACCTTAGAACCAGGGCTGGGCAAGCAGTGTTGCTCATTTGACTCGTAGTTGCATCTCTCGAGGCCCTCACACGCCTCACACTCCTCAGGCTTCATTACCTTACCTCACACAACCTCGTAGTTCCCGTCTTGGTCAACTACATTTCTCTTGGCTCAAATAAGGAACCTGAAAGTCATAATAATGACCCTTTCCTTCCCCACTCCCCCTCATTTAATCATTTGCCAGTTTCTATTCATGCTGTCTTCTGAATTTCTTATATTTGACCTTCATTTCTTTCCCTGCTGCTCTGCTAGAATTTGGACCCCTTTCATCCCTCCCAGGAGCCTCCCTCCAACTGATCTTCCTGTTTCTCATTTGGTCCTCATCGAATGTATCAGAGTTACCTTTCTGAAACCCACACCTATCACATTAATTGCTCTGCTTAGCAGTGGTTCTCAACCTTCTGGCCCTTTATATACAGTTCCTCATGTTGTGACCCAACCATGAAATTATTTTCGTTGCTGCTTCATAACTATAATGTTGCTACTGTTATGAATTGTAATGTAAATATCTGATATGCAGGATGGTCTTAGGTGACCCCTGTGAAAGGGTCGTTCGACCGCCAAAGGGGTCGCGACCCACAGTTTGAGAACCGCTGGCTTAGAGTCTTCCAGAGGCTCTGTGTCAGTAATTTGCTTTTCTTTTTTCTTTTTTTTTTTTTTTTTGCATGGCACTTAGGGCATTCAAGATTTGGTCTCTCCCTGTCTTTCCTCTCTTGCTTTCACTCCTGCCCTCCTGCCGGTCTTGCACATGCTTCCTAGGTCCAGCCACGTTGAACCAGACAGTACCATGTTCTTTGGCACCTGAATGCCTTTGCACATGTTGTCCCTTCTTCCTTCCTTGTCTGCCTATTTTTTTAAATTACAGGGGTCAGTTCCCCTTCCATGACCCACCCTGGAAGACAGTTGCCCTCCTCTGCCCTCACAGTTGCTTACGTATGTACCTCTCCATGTCGCCTTCTTTTGTGTCGCATTATAAGTGTACATACGTGCATGCTTGTGGGACATAGTTGTAAAAACTAAAGTGCATTGGGTTCTATGAATATTCAGTGAATTTGTTTAATGAATGATGGGAACCAGAGTGTATTCACATGTGTAGTCCTAGACCCCTGGCCCTGTGAGAGGGGTTTAAAAGGTGCTCATTAAGTATTTGGCAGAGGAGAGCAGAGGAACAGAGGAGGGGGAGGAAAGGATAAAGAGCATCAGGTATGGAAGTATTCCTGCCTCGTATGTGGGCAGGAGGATCACTAGTACTGAAGGTTGGTCTATACCCAGGCCGCTTTGCCTTTCTCTGTTGGGATTTAGTCACATCACTGTTGTGATGGCTCAGGGAAGAAACAGGATTGTAGACAGTTGTGTGTGTTTCTGACATGGTACCATAGGACCTAAGCCACCATGACATCTTCAGGCACTCACCTCCTGTCCCAAGTCACCAAAGATCCGAGCTCTCTCTAATGTGGGAGGTTCTTAACCTCAGAGGTTGTCTCTGAAGCCCCCAAAGTATGCAGCATACTTTGCTTATGCTCATGTACACATACATTTTCTGTAGAGAGGATCCATAGCATTCGTTAACATTTTGGGGTACTGGGTATTGTTAGCAGGCCTAGCATCTCCCAAGAAGATTGTATAGAATTGGGCCATTCGGACTTGAAAACCAAGGCAAAACTCTCTCTCTCTCTCTCTCTCTCTCTCTCTCTCTCTCTCTCTCTCTCTTTCTCTCTCTCTCTCTCTCTCTCTCTCTCACACACACACACACACACACACACACACACACACAAACAGAACAAGCTATGGAAACCTCTGACACACTGGTTTCCATTTCATCTTAGGCAGTTAATCTTATTGTTTTGTAGTCAGACCTTAATATTTATCCTTTGAAAGGTTAATAGCTTTCTGTTCCATCAAAAAGCAGAGGTTGGCTTCATGATTCCATGTAGGCAGCATCCTAAGATGGGCCCTTGTTTAGGTAATCTAAGAGCAAAATGAGACGTGCTGATTAGAGAAAAGCTTTTCAGAATCAATACGACCATATCAGGCAAGTGTAGCCCTTTAGTGTTAATAACCACTGAGTTAGGTGTGGTAGGAGAGAGGGAAGGCAACCAGCTGCCTGCTCAGATGCTTAGATGTACACGCACAGCTGGTCAGTAGCCCTTGAGAGGTGGTAAGCTTCACTCATTTATCAGTCTTCTTGTACATGAGGAGATCAGGAAATGGAGCATTGTTAACAGACACCTTTTGAAAAGTGTCTGTAGTGGGGTGTGCCACAAATCACCATGACCAGTATTCTCATTTTTCCTTGATATCCTCACCAGAAAACTGAGAGTAGACCAGGCCAGGAGCAAAGTGCCCAAATATAAGAGATTGTGTGTGTGTGTGTGTGTGTGTGTGTGTGTGTAGAGGTATGTAGGTGGAGAAGGAGCTTTGAGGGCAAAGAGAAGAAAAATTTGCTATTTGAAGTAGTTTTATGGATTAACAGAGTTTATATTGGTGTTTTAAAAATTTTAATTGAAAGTATTTTAAAGGTATTTCACATGGCCCCATTTGTAATAATAGTCATTAAAGAAAATGTGGAGGAACCAAGATGGCGGCATAGGTTAACGCCGGAGTTTGCTGCTTTGAACAACTACTTCAAAAGTGAAACCAAAAAACGGAAGGGACATCACCCAGAACCACAGGAACGCTGGCTGAGTGGAAGTCCTACAACTAGGAAGAAAGAGAAACTCATACGGACACTCAGAGGAGGCGCAGTGCTGAAGTCAAATTCTGAGGTGCGGAGTGCGCGAGCGGGCTGGCGGCAGAGGGCACAGTTGGCGTTTTCAATCGGGAGGGAGTCGCAGACTCTGAGCTCCAGATCCGGGCGAGTCTTTAGGGACCCAGACTCAAACGGGAGAGGTGGGACTGTCTGGCTTCGGTCAGAGCGAGTGCAGCTTTCTCTCCGAGCTTTGCAGCGGGTGCTGGGACTCAGAGAGGCAGAGCCCCTGGGGACAGGACTGAGAGCCGCCATAACTGCTCTCTCCGGCCCACCCTGTTGATCCTGTGTGACCCGCCCCGCCCAAGCCCTGCACACAGGCATTTGCCAGATAGCCTCAGGCAAAGGCTAGATTAGCACCTCCCTAGAGGACAGAAGTTCTCTCACTGCTGACACAGCTGATTCTCATAGCCACTTGGCCTGGAGGTCAAACCCTCCCTGGAATTAGCTACAACAATCAAGATTTAACTATAAGACTGTGAACAAAGACCACTAGGGGGTGCACCAAGGAAGCATAACAAAATGCGGAGACAAAGAAACAGGACAAAATTGTCAATGGAAGATATAGAGTTCAGAACCACACTTTTAAGGTCTCTCAAGAACTGTTTAGAAGCCGCCGATAAACTTAATGAGATCTACAAGAAAACTAATGAGACCCTCGATCTTATATTGGGGAACCAACTAGAAATTAAGCATACACGGACTGAAATAACGAATATTATACAGACTCCCGACAGCAGACCAGAGGAGCGCAAGAATCAAGTCAATGATTTGAAATGCGAGGAAGCAAAAAACACCCAACCGGAAAAGCAAAATGAAAAAAGAATCCAAAAATGCGAGGATAGTGTAAGGAGCCTCTGGGACAGCTTCAAGCGTACCAACATCAGAATTATAGGGGTGCCAGAAGATGAGAGAGAGCAAGATATTGAAAACCTATTTGAAGAAATAATGACAGAAAACTTCCCCCACCTGGTGAAAGAAATGGACTTACAGGTCCAAGAAGCGCGGAGAACCCCAAACAAAAGGAATCCAAAGAGGACCACACCAAGACACATCATAATTAAAATGCCAAGAGCAAAAGATAAAGAGAGAATCTTAAAAACAGCAAGAGAAAGAAACTCAGTTACCTACAAGGGAATACCCATACGACTGTCAGCTGATTTCTCAACAGAAACTTTGCAGGCCAGAAGGGAGTGGCAAGAAATATTCAAAGTGATGAATACCAAGAACCTACAACCAAGATTACTTTATCCAGCAAAGCTATCATTCAGAATTGAAGGTCAGATAAAGAGCTTCACAGATAAGGAAAAGCTAAAGGAGTTCATCACCACCAAACCAGGATTATATGAAATGCTGAAAGGTATCCTTTAAGAAGAGGAAGAGGAAGAAAAAGGTAAAGATACAAATTATGAACAACAAATATGCATCTATCAACAAGTGAATCTAAGAATCAAGTGAATAAATAATCTGATGAACAGAATGAACTGTTGAATAGAATCAGGGACATAGAAAGGGAATGGACTGACTATTCCTGGGGGGGAAAGGGGTGTGGGAGATGCGGGAAGAGACTGGACAAAAATCGTGCACCTATGGATGAGGACAGTGGGTGGGGAGTGAGGGCGGAGGGTGGGGTGGGAACTGGAAGGAGGGGAGTTATGGGGGGAAAAAAAGAGGAACAAATGTAATAATCTGAACAATAAAGATTTAATTTAAAAAAAAAAAAAAAAGAAAATGTGGAAAATGTTGACTTCTCATGGTAGATTAAAGATGGCCAAGGTTCTTTGACATAAGAGGATCCTCTCCCTTGAATCTGAGCAGGCTCTGTGATAGCATGCCCAGTGCTGTGCTCGTTACCAGGCCAAGCATTACGAAACTTGCAGGTTCTACTTCCTTTCTCTCGGAACACTGGTCTGGTAGGAAGCCCAAGTAGCCCCATGGAGAGGTCTACCTGGAGGAGAACTGAGGCCCCTGGCCAGCAACCCCAACTGAACTCCCAGCTAACAGCCGGCACCAGCATGTTACTGAGCTACCGGGGAAAGCAGATTCTTCGGGGCTAGTTGAGTCACATCAGCTGCTGTGGCATGAAGCAGAGATGAGCCAACCCCTACTGAGCCCTGCCCAAATTGCAGATTACTGAGAAAAAGAAATGATCATTGCCATTGTAAGAAGTTGCGTTGTTTGTTATGTGAAATATATCATTGGAACAACCTAAAAGACAAAAAGAAATCATTCATTCATCCATATGCAGACAGTACTAATACTTTACTTCCCAATTTTTTTTTAATGTGTGATTTTGAGATTTGTTTACTGTTCTTTTTAAAACAATTATATCTATTAAAATTGTATATTTTTCACTTGTTACATAAACATGTAAATTTTCTACATTATTAGAAGCTTCATATAATTTTAGAGACTACTCAGTATAGAAGTAACTCCTATACTAACCATTCTCTTAGAATTGGTTACCAAAATGGAATTATGGAGGAGCAAAAAGAATGATTCGTATTTGCTTTGTTAATAGACTCGTTATAATCTTTTAGTTACCTTATCAGTGGATGCGCAACTGGAGAGGACAGAGATGATTTCGGGAAATATTCCTGGTATGCTGGGTTGAGTAGTAGCCCCTCAAAATTCCTGCCCACTCAGAACCTCAGAATGTGATCGTATTTGAACTTTTGTACATGTAATTAGTTAAATTATGATGAAGTCATAGTGGAGTAGGGTGGGCTCTAAGGCCAATGGCTGGCCTCCTCATAAGAAGGTCATGTGAAGACCTAGAGAGACACACACACCGAGGGAGAAAGACCAGGTGGCGATGGAAGCAGATATTGGAGTGATGAAGCTTCTAAGTCAAGGACCTCCAAGGATTGTTGACAACTACCAGAGGCTACGAGAGGCAAGGAAGGATTTTTCCCAAGAGCCTGCAGGGGGAGCATGGCCTTGTTCACCCCCTGGTTGCAGACTTCTAGCCTCCAGAATATGGAGAGACTAAATTTCTGTTGTTTAAGCTCCCCAGTGTGTGGTGATTTGTGAGGGAGTCCTGGGAACTCTTGGATACAGATGCGGGCTTCACATGGCTGCATATCACAGTTCATTAAGGGCTCAGGATAAGAATAAATCCACAAGAAGACTTTCAAGATCCAGCATCGAAATTTAGAATCCTGTTCTCTTCTCCCTCCCCACCCCAGGCCTCAACAGTCAGTATGGACTTGACTTACTATGGTTGTTATTTTAAGCCACTAAGTTTTGGGGTAATCTGTTACACAGCAATAGACAGATAATACAGCTTATACTTTGAGTATCTAGGGTGGACTCATTAAGATTTGTCTTAAGACAGTGAGGTCACTTGCCTTTTCTTGATGGCATGAGGGGATAGATTTTATTCTACAGGATGGACAGACTGTCAGGAACCACTTGGGACAAGCTCAGAGATCATAGCTAAAGGACATAATTGCAATAGTCTTCCTTTCAATTGAGTCAGCACAGTTGCTGTCCCTTTTTCATTTTCCCCTCAGTTGACTTGGTTGTACGTGGTTCCCTGAGCTGGTTGGTCTTAACCCCCAAACTCGGGACAGACGGATGTCCAGCATTGCAGCCTCCTAGTCTAATGTATCCATGAGGTTGGAATCCCACAGGTAAGTTTTCCTCACCACTTGTTTTATTCTGAGACACCTCTGGCTGACTTGTGAAGGTCACTTTCAAGTGTGGTGGCTGACAACTGGACTCTCCCCTCAGGTCTGCCTGGCAGAGCTGGCGTGACCAGATGTCTGGTGCTACTCCTCAGATCTCTGAATTTGATCAACCATGGCAAAAGATAAACATATGATGGAAGGGTGCTTACTGCATTAATCAAGGAGCTTACTCATTGCTATGGCTGGTATCTTGGAAGCAGCATGAAATATGAAGTCAGACGTTTTGGGTTTATGTTTATCCTTTGCTATTTACTAATTGTGTGAGTTTAGAGAAGTCATATGAACTGTGAGCCTCAGTTTCTTCATCAGTAGAATGGGGACAATATTAATCACCCAACCTACATCCAGATGGATGTGATGAGAGAGAGACAGAAAGAGAGAGATTGAGAATAAAAGAGAGAGAGAGAGAGGAAAAACTTTAAAAGCCATGAAATGTTAATATAGTTGTTGGCTCTTGTAGTTATTTATTACTGGTATCTCAGGGAATGTTCACGAAAAACATATTCTTAGAAAACAAGCCCAAATTCATATCAGCCCCATAAATAAGAACCATAGGATACTGCCCACAGGGAGAATTTGATTCTGTGAGTTGAGAGGTTCTGCCTACTGGGGAAGTTACTCGGGCTTTGGTTAAGGTTTTCTTAGGTGGACTCTGGCCTGGTTGATTCAGCTTCTCACGGACCCAGCTGGGACCCTGGTCTACCTCCTGCTGGCCTCGCTGTTGGCCATGTGGACCCAGTGACCCTCCTGGTGCCGGTGGTGACAGCATCGAAACCTATCCAAATTTAGAAAAATGGGAAAGTTGTCCTCTGCATTTCTCATAGGCTATTTTGATAGTGCTTTTTTCTTCTTTGCCCTCTTTCTCCCCAGCATTTAAAAGTATCGTGTTCACTTCATTGGGTGCCGTGTGGTCTTTCCTTTGACTCCGCTGCCTCTTGTTTGTGAAACACAGTGAGTCAACCGTGACAAATGGCCAGCAGCCATCTGCCTCCAAAGAACAGAGACTTTTTTCTTCCCTTTATTTTGTTTTAAAAATAATAAGGTATTTTTCCTTGCGGGGGAAATTTTCTATTATTCAGAGATACATAGCATCGAGAAAAGCTCTGAAGCCAGGAGACCTGGGTTCCAGCCCCAGATCGGGCAATTCCATGAGCTCTTCAGAGCCTCGGCGACTTGGGGGATGTCATGAGTGCGAAAGCCCTTTGCAAACAACGGAATGCGACGCCGATGTTCTTATCACAGCTTCTCCTTCCCAGGCACCCTCGCAGGGTAGCAGGCTTTTCAGAGACTCCTGGAAATGCTGTGTCAGGGAGTGTGTGTATTTGATCTGCAACAAGAAGGTCCTGAAGACCACGTGGCGGATTTATTTCTCACCTCAAAGATGTGCAACCCTGTTTTTGAGATCCAGCCCCTGCCTGCTCAATGCCCTCTAGCAGTTGTGGCCCCACCTGCAAGTTTAAGACTAGACTAGACTGTGGCCCTGAGTCTCCTGTGGATCCACCCCAGTGGCCATGGGCTTTATTCCATCCAGCTCCAAGGCTTGCTGGACCCCACGGGGGGACTGTCTCTTCTGCCAGACAATGTGGGCTCTGGGCCAGCTGTGTGCTTGGATTCACTTGCATCTTCCAGGACCTTTGTCATATGAACAGTCCGAAGCAATGAGTGTTATTCTTTTAATTTGTGTGTTTCCACGTTTCCCCTTCTCTGAGGGTCACAGGAGTGTAAACAATGGGAAGACAGAACAGCACATGGAGATGTCACTGCTTTTATCTCTGAAGGTGTGGGCAAGCTGTCCCACACCTTTGCCTCCGTGTGCCTGGACGCTGTGGCCTGTGGCAAAGCAGACACTTATCAAGCGGACTGTATTTGACCCATAAGAACAGTGTTGTATTGGGAGTCCAAGGAGGTCAGTTATCGTTAAGACCAATCGTGTGCCATAAAACCCAGAGAAGGTGTAGAAGGCGGCCAGAATAATGGGAAGAGCGAAGCTGTAATTAGAGATTGGTGGGCTCGGAAGGGACATTAGAGACCCTCCCCTCTGGACCCTATGTTTGAGCAAATGGAGCCCTGAGGGGCAGCCACCTGTGACAGGGCACACTGTTAGTTAATGGCAGGGCTGGGACTGTAATAAGGATCTTGGATAACAGCCTGGGTTTCCTCAGCTCCACTCTCCTTGGGGGTCATTGATTGGAAGGAGTCCCAGCGGTGCCATGTACTGTGTGACCTTGGGCAAGGTTATTTCACTTCTTTAAGTCTCAGTGTCCCCATTTACAAAACTGAGAAATTAATATTTCACTCATGGGTTGTTGTCAAGAGTAAATGAGATCATTAGTATAAGAAAAAGACTTAACTAGTGGCCAAGACAACACTAAATGCTCAGTAAGTGACAGTTATGGTTATACGAAGGGCCAGTATACCATAAAGAATACATCAGTCGCTCTATTGCGACATAGATTTGGCCTAAGTAAAATGGGTTTCCCCACAATTCTAGACTAACCTTCCCTCAGCCTGGTTTGCCTCTGGTCGGCCTTGGAGTGGCTTTCAGAGGTGGGCCTGGATTCTGTCTTTCTATGGACCAAAATCACTCTCTCCATGTTATCTTGCCAACTTCCTCAGCCGTAATTAGTCATATGGGAGTCTTTTCGTTAATGTGAGGCTTGTGCTTACAATTCAGATGGTTCTTTAAAAAAAAAAAAAAAAAAAAAAAAAGCCAATGGAACCCGGCTGCAGTGGCTCAATTGGTTGAACATTGTCCTGTGCACTGGAGGTTGCAGGTTTGGTTTCTGGTTAGGGCGCATGCCTGGGTTGCAGGTTTGATCCCCAGTCTAAATAAGTAAAAATAAAGACATTGGGAATCCATAAATGAAAGACTAGATTTTTTTTGTACTATTCTTTTAAAAAATATATTTTTATTGATTTTAGAGAGGAAGGAAGAGGGAGAGAGAGATAGAAACATCAATGATGAGAGAATCATTGAATGGCTGCCTCCTGCACTCCCCCCACTGGGGACCAAGTCCGCAACCCAGACATGCACCCTTGACCGGAATCGAACCTAGGACCCTTCAGTCTGCAGGCTGATGCTCTTATCCCCCAAGCCAAACTGGCTAGGGCTGAAAGACTAGATTTTGAGTGTTGGTCACTCTTGATCTTTGGTCTCCCTGATATCTTTCCCTTTTTCTCTCAATCTCTGCTTTTTAAAAAAATAATTTTTAAAGCCACCAACAATTTCAAGGCTGCTCTGAAAGGAGGAAGGGAAGAGGGCACACAGCCCCTGGCCTTGAAGGCAGCATACAAAGGCTCCGGGGCTCAGCCATGTGGGCCGTGGCCCCACGGGCTCAGGCACTGAGTGGGAGGAACAGGCTGATGGGCCTGAATGTGAGGAAGGAGCTGAATGACACACCGGAAGGCCTTGCGTAGGATTAGAAGGGGCAGCTGGCTTCCCGTTGGTTCTGCCCCTCGGCTCTGCTGCTTGGCAAGGCCCAGTGTGTGAGCTGCGGCAGGTGGAATCCATTTTGATTTTCCGACGAGGCTGCAAATCCCAGGGCATGTTCGCACGGGGGTGTGTGAGGGTGGATCGAGGTTTCTGCAAAGCCCGAGTTTTCCTCCTGGCCATGCCCCTTAGAGGCAGGGCAGAGAAAGAGTTTCTGTTTTGTTTCTAAAGAAACCGAGGGACGGGGACTTAAACCAGCAGGTGTGGCTAAACCCTGGCATGGAGAGTCTGTGTCCCCCCACGGGAGCGTGTTATGGGCAGTGTTCATAAACATCCTGTTAACCCCCAGAGAGGAAAAGTGATCTGGTCTTAGGAAATGTCAGACCAGAGAGCCCACAGAAGTCAGAGCCGTGCCTGGGGTGTAAGTCATGCCCACGGGCAGCGTCTGTCCAGGGAGGATGTGAGTGTGGCCGCAGCTGCATTGCTAACCTCTGGCTCAGCCACTTGCTGAAGCCATCATTCTTTGGAAAGGGGGAACTGGACCCTGCTCCCTCCTGAAATCCAAATGCCATCAATGCCGCCCTTCTCCGGGCCGCCCCGCTGACAGCTTGCGGTGTCTTACCAATCGCTGAAGGAATGTCGCCTGGAGGGAGGCTCTCTGGGTAGAGACCGCTGTGGATTCAGGCTTCCCGTGTACAGTCTCAACATAAAAGGGCGATCCAGTGTCAGGAGAAACCGATTCTAGAACATTAGACTGCGTCAGCGTCCCTGGGATAATGATTAGAAACGCCAGGCCCCAGGCCCACCCCGTCATGTCTGTCCTTGGGGCAGAGCCCAGGCACTGCATTAGCCCCAGGGGCCCCGGGGGTCCCGAGAGACTCTGACAAGGAGGTCATGGACGTGCTCCAAGACAGTGTGCAGGTTCAGTTCCGTCTGATGGGAACCAGAGAAAATCCAGGACACGCGGCACCTTCGTGACCTTGGCGGCAAGGCTGCTGGGCTGCTGGCTGGGCCCCCAGTGGGGGCAGCAGGAGGCAACGGATCGATGTTTCTCTCTCATCAGTGTCTCTCTCTCTCTCTCTCTCTCTCTCTCTCTCTCTCTCTCTCTCTCCTCCCTTCCTCTCTCTCTGAAAATCAATGAAAACATATTTTTAAAAAATTTGTTTAATGTCAAATCAAATTAGAAATAAGTTAGAAGTAAAGTGTGTTCTTTTCAGAACTGCTTCCATTTCTGCAGCGTGGTGCTGAATGTGCTTTTTATAACTGAGGGAGACGGGAAAGGGTTTTTATCTTTGCAGTCCCCACAAGTTAAGATAATGGGATTTTTTTTAACATTGAGTTTTATTCCAGAGACATGTTTAAATCCTTTGTAGTCGGTGTCAGGTAGCAGTACAGCTAAAACAATCCTAACACTAGTAATGCATCATAGTGTGACATCTGTCTGTGCTTTCTGCCACCAGCCTGTCTGCCTCTCCTTCACAAACCGCCCGTCTGGGTGAGACCTGGCGGCTGACCTGAGAGGGACCTGTGGCATCCCCTCCAGCAGGTGGCTGTGCCTCCAGGGAGACACCTGTTGATTTTGTTGGAAACAGGCAAGGCAGCCGCCACGGCTCCTCCGTGCCGCGCTGTAAGCCAGAGGGTGAGGGCAGGCGGGGAATCGGAGCTTGTCTCCAGGTGAGCTAGTGATTACACAGGGATGGGAGCGGAGTGCCAGTCCTCCCATCTGGAGAACACTTCTGGTGGCAGGAGCTAAGGATAGGGTGAAGGAAAGTGATACACCCCGGCTGGCCGGGGCAGCCGCTAGGGCCCGCATCACCTCTGCCCTGCTCCGTCCAAAAGGGAGCTCAGTGGGACTGCATCGGTGTGGGGCTCAGTGGGTGCCCTGCCCATTGGTCCATGGCTCTTCCTCCTCACGATCACCCAGATGCACCCCTTTCTCCCCACACATGTTGGCTCCTCCCGCTGGGTTTCCTGAGAGGGTGGAAGGAGGAAGGCAGGCTCTTTGCAAACTCCCCTCCCTTCCCTGCACAGGTGGGATTCACAGCCTCTCCCCTCATCCAAGGGGACATGTCCCAAGACCCAGGGTGGACGCCTGAAACCACAGACAGTGCCGGACCCTATACAGCCAATGCTTTTCCCTACACACACACCTTCTCCCCTGCAGGAGGCCTTACGGCCTCTGGGGCCTCCCCGAATTGCCAGCATCTCTGCTCCGGTGCTCTGGAGCCATTAGTAAGGAAAAGAAGGGTGACTTGGACACGAGACTGCGACCCCAGACGGCTACTCAGTGACTAATGGGCAGGAGCATATGCGTCGTGGGGACGCTGGACAAAGGCGTGAGTTATGTCCCAGGTGGGAGGGGGGGGGGCAGAGCAGGACGGCACCAGGTTTCATCCCGCTCCTCAGAACAGCGTGAAATTTAAAACACGAATTGTTTTCCTCTGGAATTTTCCATTTAATAATTTTGGACCCAGGTTGACTGCAAGTCATTGAGAGTGGAAGGCAAACCACGGCTAAGGGGGCACTGCTGTCCTGCTTCCATCGCATCCTAACGGCCTCTCTCCCCAGGAGAACGGGAACCACGGGGTGCCCTTGACCAGACCCTCTACTCCCGTGTACAGCCAGGACCCGGCCCCGTGTCCGACACAAACCCAGTCAGTTCGGTGAGTGCCGCTGCAGGAGGCAGCATCCCGGCTGGGCTGGAAGCGGCGGTGCCAGTGCCGCGGGCCTTCCCACCACCTCGCTGCTTTCCGGACCCAGAGCCCAGCAAGGCCGCGAGGTCCCCGGGGAAGGTGCGCAGGAATGAGGGGTCCGGGGAGCAGAGGGAGGAAACACGACCGTAAAACTGTTGTCGCTGAGTGGCTTCCGAGCCTGGAGAGTGTGTGGTCCCAGATAGGTGTGTGACTCTCCACGCCAGCCTCAGACGTGCCGGGCACATCAGAGCGTACCATTCATGTCAGCGATGGTCAGCGATACCCCATTTTGGATTTTGCACGTACCCTGTTGCCACTGTTGGAATTCCTCGCGTTGGTGTGGTGAGTTCTCACCATGACCTAGCTCCGTGCGAGGGGCTCCAGGTCCCCGCATCGCCGGGAGGGCAGATGACCCGTGCTCCCAGAGATTCGGTTTCCACACTCGGCCCCTTGCAATTAGGGGGCGTTGGGGACGTTCTTTAACCACAGTCATGAAGACCAGAATACCAGGAAAGAAAGCAGCATTCTCCTGGCCAGCCCACGTGGGGCGGCAGGTAGAGGGCAGGTGTGAGCGCCTCCCCACGGGTGGGGCGCACCTGTCCCGTGAACTGCGTGACCTCTCTGTCCCCGCTCTTTGGGGCGTGAGGGGAGAAGCCTCCAGGGTCAGGCATGCTTTTCACTGCTGGTTCCGGAGTTTCACACACTGGACAGGCCTCGCTTGGGGACACGGAAGATTTATGACCTCATTAAGCTCCTTCTACATTATCTTCCAGATATCGGCTCAGATTCAAAGGCCCGAGGCCTGGGCCGGTCCGCGCTGGCTTCCGCACAGTTGCTATTGTGCCGCTTCCTCGTGACTATAATTAGGTGATGGTGTAAGGCGTCCGCGGCGCGCCCTGGAAGAGCGACTGTATTTGGCCATGATGTCACTCGCACCAGCCCCTTCTCATCAGGTGGCCTTCGCTGGTGCGTTTGGGATTCCGCGGGGATGAAATCAGACTGTCACCGAGCTCTCCCTGGAGTGAGATAGCACTTGGGATGAGCTCTCGGGACAAGTGCCTTTACGTGCTTGAGATAATTGTGACATAAGAGCTGAGAGTTCTGGGAAGTCCCTGCTCTAGCTCTCCAATCTCGACAAGTCCCCGAGCCTCTTGGAGACTTCCTTCGTTCGTCTGGAAATTGGGGCTCATCGTACCAGCAACCCCAGGAGATAAAATGTCTGGCCCCTCTCTGTCCCCTTTCACACCCAGTCAGTGACCACATCCTAAACGGTCCACGTCTTAAGTATCTCTCAACTCCTCCCACGTTTCTCTCTCTCCACGGCCACCGTCCGGCCCCAGCCACTGTCCTCTCTCGCCTTGGACCACGACCCTTGTCTGTTGACTGGTGTCACTGCACTCACGCCTCTACCCCTCTGTGCCATAGGCGTGTGGCTTCCACAGTGGTCTTTCTGGACAGTCACTTGGGACATATCCTTTAGCTTAAAACTTTCCAGGGCATCTCTGCGCTCTTAGGGTGAAGCCCAGATTTCTCACCTTGACCTACAAGACCCCGCAGGATCTGGGTCTGTCTGTATCTCGAACCTCAGGTCATGTCATTCTCTCCCCAGCAACCGGCATTCCAGCCCAATCAGCAACTCAGATACATCCAGATGCTCCTCCCTAAAGACTGCGGATGCTCCTTTCGCTTAGCAGCAGTTCTCAACCTGTGGGTCGCGAACAATGAAAATACATCCTGCCTATCAGATATTTACATTACAATTCATAACAGTAGCAAAATTACAGGTATGAAGTAGCCACGAAAATAATTTTATGGTTGGGGGTCGCCACAACATGAGGAACTGTATTAAAGGGTCGTGGCATTAGGAAGATTGAGAACCACTGGCTTAGAGCTTCTTGTCCTGGATCTGGCTTTTCCAGAAGCCAGCCTACCCCAGGATTTGAGACAATCAATTCTCTTTCATTGTGTACAGCCACTGAAGTTGAGTTTCTGTTACTTGGAACCCAAAGTCCTGGCAGATACAGCTGCTTTTTGAGCATCTGCTACAGGTGAAGGCACTTCTTGGGGCTCTCCAGGATTCAGAGGAGCCAGACATGGCCCTGCACTCAAGGGCCCCTGCACCCCTCAGAACACACAGACCAGTGTGTGATCACCACAGGCAAAGCGCCAGATCCCCAGCCAAGGAGCACGGCTGGCTGCAGGACCACAGTGAAGAGGGATGGGTACCAACTGGGGAGGACGCGGAGCGCTCCTGAGACAAGGCGCCTCATTCCCCACAGAGAGACAAGCTTGGGCCAGGGTCAGCCGTGGGAGGTACAAAAACCGCATTGTGTTCTTTGAGGTTCTGTAGGTCATCCCTAGCGACTGAGGGCAGAGGTTGGGTTAACAGGAAAGATTTGGGGGACAAAAAGAGAACGAGAGAAAAGATTTGTTTGAAACAAACTGTGGAGGCTCTGATGGGCAGTGTGAGGGATCTGCCTGGGGTCAGGATGGTAGAGGGGATCTGAGGGGGTGGGGAGGATGAGAAAGATTGCTGTGGCAGCAGTGAGTAGAGCTGGGGATGGAGGTGAGGGAGGGGGACGGTGGGGGCAGGGGAGTGCTGCTTGACCTCGGCGCAGGGCTGGGAAGGGCCAGACGGAAAAAGAGGGCTGGAGGCGGTGGAATCCCAGCCTCGCCAGCATTCTGCAGAGAGGCTTTGGCCATATTTGCGCAAGAATCTTCCTCGTGGTCTCATCTGAAAGCCATACTTTTTATTTCATGCTAAACATTGTCAGAGGGAGCACTGGCAGATCGTCCTGAGCGGGAGCCAGCCGGCCTGGCATGCACACTTTTAATGGCATTCTAGCCGCGGGGCCTGGCACACTCCCTCGATCCCTGTCTGCACGGGCTCCTGCCTGATCCAGAGCTGGGGTGTCAGGAGGGAGCGGCTCTCCCCCTTGGTGAGCTTCCCCACAGAAAAGCCCCAGGACAAGACTCCAGTCCTCCCCCACACGAGACATACAGTTTGGTCTTTGAGGGATGCCACGGCTGTAGCTTCAGACTCGGTGCTATTCTGGTCACCCTTGGTCCCCTCGCACTCTCTTCCTCATCACGTCCAGTCCTGGAGCATGACCTGCCCCTGCTAACTCTGGTCCAGGTGACCATCACCACTCACGTGGACCTCGGCCATGGTCTCGCTGGTCTCCCTGCTTCTCTGTCTGCCCCTCTGTCGTCTGGACTCAACAAGACATCTAGAACAGTCCTTTAAAATCACAAGCCAGATCCTGTCACTCCTCTTCTTAAAACCTCCTGATGGCTTTCTGCCTGATTCCGAATAAAGCCTGAAATCCCTAATGTGGCCCCGAAGACTCGATCGGACTTGTCATGGTCTGACCAGTAGCTGCCTCTGCTGCCGCTGCCCCATCCCGTGAGCCTTTATGCCGCTACTCTCCTGGCCACCGCGGGCTGGTCTCATTCTCTTCGTGGCCCGTGACATGCTTCATCCTAATAAAAGCTTGTATCTGTCAGGATAGGCTCAGCTCTGCTGCAGTAACACACAACCTCCAGGTCTCAGTGGCTCCGATCACAAAGGGCGATTTCTCACTCAATGTGCCATGTTGTCGGTGGGGAGAGGGGCTCTGTCCATCACAGTCATAGCCACCCTCTGGAATGTCGCAGGTTTCGGTCCCACAGGAAAAGAAAGAGATTCTCAGAGGCTTGTCATGGCCATGGAATGTTAGGCTCAGAAGAAACACCTGTCATTTCTGCACATTCTCTGTCCAGCCACTGGCTCTCTCAACCAAAGGAACTCCAACGTGTAATCTTACCACGAGGCTGGGAATGGAAGGGGTCGGCCACTATGATAAACAGCACTGATGATGACCATGATGTCTGATGTTTCTGTGTGTGTGGCATCGATAAAATGCCTTGGAGTGTCTTCCAACCCACGGATTGCCAACTGTGGCAGGTCAGCGCGGTGGGGTTAGGGTACAGAAGGTGGGTGGAGAATGAGGACTGTGGGGGAGGGTTGGTTACTGCAGCTCAAGCTCGGGGAGAAAGAGGAACAAGGCTGAGTTTGGCTGCTCACTGGACCAGTCCAGTTGTTGCATGGAAGCAAACGCGGTGGCCATTGATCAGGTCCTTCAGGCTAAGGGCGCCTGGTACTTAGCTTCTGATGTCTGTGATTCTTCCATGAGAGATTCATTCCTTTGCTGCTAAATGCCATTTTCCAAGTTGTGTCTCACAGAACTCTTCTATTAGAGGCTAACAGGTGCTCCTTGGTCAAGCAGAATATGAGAGGCGAGGCTGAACAAAATCCAACTGGCGCTTCCTCTGCAGGCCTTCCCAGGGCCTTGTCGAATATGCTGCTGTGTGTTCTCTCCCAGCGAAGGGACCCGTGTGTGCATTTCCTCAATTCCTCCCTGTGGTCAACTAGGTGGCTTGGAAAATGCTGGTCTGGAGGCCTCTTCAGTCCTAGTGAGTCCCCTGTGGAAAGTAGGTGTCCCGGGAGCGGGGGTGGCTTTTCACAGGAGAAGGAAAGCAGTGCGGGCAGGGCCTTGATGGAGTGGGACTAGAGACAGTGGTCTGGGAGGCGCAGGTCCAAAAGGGAGAGGAGGCCTGATACTTTCCCTGCCCCGACACCATGCCCTGCCCCCAGACTCTGCTGGACTTCTTGTCTGGACTCAAACCTCCCATAACAGAATGAATCTTACTACTGCCCTCATCACAGGTATTTTAACGACTATGTCTGTCCCTCTAATCTGGGAGCCCCTCAGATTAGGGCTTTATATCTTCCCGTGGCAGGAGATAGATGCCCAATAATTAGTTGAATGAATGAGGGGCAGGCATGGAGCAAGAGGTGGGTGAAAATCCCCCACATACACCATGTTAAAGGATTTCCCAAATTGAAATATTCTACTCCGCCCATTGAAACACCTCATCGTTGTTAGTCACCTGCTGGTTCTCTGGTTTCTGGAGCCTGCGGCTCTTCTGACCTGCCCCTCCCTCCTTGACATCTCCTGCCAGGCTGCTGGGCCACCTGGGCCACCGGTCCTCTGGGACAGTGAATGGGTTTGGATTGTGAATGGCCTGCCTGAGGCTGTTTCCTTAAGTAGGAAGTACATGCATGTGTCTCCAGATGACAATCTGGAAGGGTGGGGAGGTGTTTGTTGTTTTTAAGAGGAGGTTGGCTTTGGCGTGAGAAAGGGAAAACTAGAAGGAAACTGCGAGCAGTGACACACAAAGTTTACCAGCAGCGCTAAGACGTCTGTGTGTCCTTTCTTTTCTTTTCTTTTTAAAATATTTTTATTGCTTTCAGAGAAGAAGGGACAGGGAGGGAGAGAGAGAAACATCAACAATGAGAGAGAACCATTGATCGGCTACCTCCTGCACGCCCCACACTGGGCCCTCTGGTCTTTTGGGTCGCACTGTTCTTTCCACCTGGAATGCGTCCCTCATCCCAGTTGCACCCTTTGCCCCGTCCACTTGACAGATGCCTGCTCGGACTCAAGGTCCAGCTCGAATGTCACTGTCTCTTGCCAGATTTAGCAAATTAAAACACAGGATGCCCAGCTGAATTTCAGATAAACAATGAGTAATCATTTTAGCCTAAGTCTGTCCCGAATATCTCATGTCCCAGAGCTTGCCCGAGACAGTTAGAGGAAGACGTGGTGCGCGTTTATCTGCGATTCCAGTGATCTGGCTCCCCTACTCGCTGTCCCTGACTCCTTTCCCGCTCAGGTTTTCTTCCCACCTGCTGCTCCCGGAGGCGTTCCAGCACTTCCCATGCACCCGTCACCACACTCCCTGCACCCGTCTGTGTCCTCGTCCCCTCACCTGCCACGGGCGGGATGTGGCAATGCCGTAGCTGTCACACATGAGTAAATGGTGCTTTCCCTTGATTTCCTCCGATCCAGTTACTCTCAGGGATGACGTGGCGGCATCATCGCAGCGGGTTTATTTTCATTCAGGATGTTTGTGATGAGACGGGGGAGTTAACTCTTGCGTGGAATCACAGCAACACTTCTGGTAACAGACACGTGTCTCAAGCAGCCACTCTGGGCTCAGACATTTCATTACCTGGTGGACAAAGGCCTGAGCCCGAGCCCAGCCCGTGGCCGACACCTCCACCCTCCCTGCCGCTGTCCTGAGAAGTGGACAGTGTGGGCTCTCGGGCTCCCTCCCCCTGCCAGTCTGGGGTCAAACAGCAAATCAACAGTGGCCCAAGCAGGAGCGTGCGGTGAAGGGGAGGGCTTTCTGTTTTGGGGACGTAGGCTCAGGAGCTTCTGATTGCCCACCTTTCCCTTAGGAGTGGATTGATTCTTTGAGAAGTTCTTTTAAACCTTTGCTTGGCTCAGCGCTGGCTGCACTGGAGAAGGCCGGCTTGAGATGAGCTCATGGGTGCGAGCCACCTGAGACTGACAGCCCCAGTGTCCGGGCTCCAGGGTCAGTGCTCCGAAGCGGTTCCCAGTAGCAGGGGGTTGGGAGCTGAGGCCCAGGGAAGGCACTCCTGCTGGGGACCCTGCGAGGGGCCCAGTCCTTGGGCTGCAGACCAGCCAAAGCGCCTGCGGTTCAAAACCTGGAGCCTGGCCAGGATCTCCAGGACGCGGGGCCCAAGTCCCCTTCTGCTTGCTAGAAATGTCCCTCTTGCACCACATCCTCCCCTCCCAGAGCAATTCATCCTCCCATCTCCCTGTGGAATTGAAATTCCCCAAGTTGACTGCTGGTTAATCATGCTGAGCAAGAAACCACGGTGCCCCAGTGTCCTGTGTGTGTGTGTGTGTGTGTGTGTGTGTGTGTGTGTGTGTGTGCGCGCACGCGCGCGCGCGCACGTTTAGGGGTGGTGGCTTTTCCATTGGAGCTGCCCAGTAATGTCACCTCTTTTTAAAAATATACATATTTTCATTAATTTCAGAGAGGAAGGGAGAGGGAGAGAGATAGAAACCTCAATGATGAGAGAGAATCATTGTTCGGCTGTCTCCTGCATGCCCTGACTGGGGATTGGGCCCGCAACCTTGGCATATCTGGATGATGCTCTAACCAACTGAGCTACCTGGCCAGGGCCTACATTCCTCTTTTTAATTAAAAAACAAAGCAAGCAACAACTGTTTGATCTTATTGAACTCAATGTTTTCTAAACTTATTTGATTGAGAACCACCCTCCCATCCTCCTTTTTCTGAGGGGCATCCTGCTCAGTCTGTCATCCTGGGAGCACACTTGGGGGGAGTGGAAGCAAGCAAGTGCTTTACGATCTCTGCATTCCCTCTGCAAGTCACTAACTTCATTCCAGAATTTGGCGAGAGAGCCTGGGAGGCCTTTACGGTTGGGAGTCGGGGAGCGTGGGGAGGGAAGGTGGCTCAGGCAAGCCCTGCTCTGTGCTGGGAGCCTGGGCTGGCGGCCACTCTGGCCACTCGGAGAGAGTTAAGAGCACCCGGTTTTGTTTGGGATTGAAAACACCACCCAAGGCCATCTTTTGACAGTCACAAGGCCGCCTGGGCCATCCACGGGGAGTGC